TAAATTTTTGACAATTTTTTGAATCTCAATTTTAACAAATTCAACCTCATAAAATGTTGAAAATTTTGAAGAATTTAAAATTTTGTCGGACACAGCTAGATCGATTCGGCTGTTGATGCTAATCAAGAATATATATGATTTATAGGGTCGGAAATGAATCCTTCACTTTCTTTTAAGCTTCTGGCTGAAGGTGCAATACCATTTTTTAATCGGAACTAGTTTTATTTTTAAATGAAAATTTTACGACAAATCAAAATTAAAAAACTCATAACTAAGCCAAAAATGCATTCATTTCAATTCAGAAAACTTTACGATGCTACTTTTTATAAGGTTAATCAATCTGCATGCTCATTCCATTTAAAGTGGAACAACTTTTTGTGTACATTAAATAAGATTTCACTGGTGAATGCATACATATTAGTTAACTAATAAAACCAAGAAGATTAAATTGCATATATTGATATGAATTGTTGTTAAATACAACATGTATTATAGGGTCTGAATTTTCGATATAACATTTAGATACTTTAATAGTTTGTTTTGATACAATTCCGAGAATTTCTCTCAGTGTGTGTGCCTCTCTAGTTGCTGGTCCTAGTCTTGTCCCTGGTTTTAGTCTCGGTCTTAACTTTGGTTCTTGGGTTACCTGCTTTCCTGGAACGATGTCTGCCGTCTGTCCATCAGTCAGTCAGTCCGGGGTCCAGCTCAAGGTCGCCTGATGCCACCCACAACCCAGTTTCTGGCCCGTTTTGTGTGTGTTTGTGTGTGTGTTACCTTGAAACCGAAACGTTGCCTTGCTGCTTTTCTTTACTTGATTTTTCTTGTTTCTTATTCCTTTTTCCTTTCTTTTATTATGGTTTTTCTTTTTATTTTCCTTGTATTTCTTTTTCTGTGTTGGCAAAGAAAGAAATGTATCAGTTGCCGCCGCACTTTGGCATGCTTTTTTCTAGCGCCGCACTTCTTGATGAGCACCGAATTTCCACCCGTTTTAACCCCCTGCCTCCCTCCCATCCATAGAAAAAGAAAAGCTGGGGGGGAAAAATGGAAAAAATAAAAGAAAAACCTGAAAAACCTGACGGCGCTGTCGGCGTCGTCGTTGAGTTGAAGGAAAAACGAACGGAACGGCGGAACGAGAGTGAAAGTCGTCCTGGCCACATGGGGAAATGGTTGGTGGAGAGGGAGAGGGAGAAAGGGGGGACAAGGACCGAAGCCTTACGCACTAACCACTACACCCGCACACTCGCACACACACACACAGCGCCTACGCTGACGTTGACGCTGACTGCGACGTAGCGCCGATATACCAATACCAATACAGGATGAAGGATGAGGACGAAGGATGCAGGATGAGGAGGCTGCCTTCGCCTTTGCCTCTTTTTTTATTCACTTTTCCTCTGCTTGAGTTTCATGTTTTTTTTTTTCGCCGCTCTGCCAGTGCTCTGCCACTGTTTATTTTGGTCGCAGGATCTGCTCCTGCTCCTGCTCCATCTCCTGCTGGGAGTAATTTTTCTTATTTTCATGCGCTCCTTCGTCTTTGGCGAACTTTTTCTTTTCTCAACTTTTTTTCTCTATTTTTTTTTTTTTTTTTTTTTGGGGGCCCTCCTTATCCTTTCTACTGTTAAGGAATAGTTGGACCAGGATCTTGGGTGGAGTGGGTGTAGAAGGTATATTTATTTTTCCTTTAGGTTTTTCCTTGATTTTCTTTGATTATTTTTTGCTTACAAAGCTGCCAGCTAAAAGCTTTTCTAGCTTGGTGGTGTGCGTCTTAGCTGGGCTTTTACGATCAGTAGTGGAGCTGCGAACCAAAAAGCGGAGAGTTCTTCACCAGAAGAATGGAGTCTTTTTCTCCGAAGATTTCTTTTCTATGCTGAATAAATTGTTCTCTAAGCTAAATAACAGTTTTAAATGCACTCTAGAATTTAGAAGAGTCTTGTATTAAATCTCTCATTGGAATGGTTTGTCTTTAGCAACGATCACTAGAGAAGTTTTAAACCAAACTCTACATGAACCTTTTGAAATGCACTGTTTGCGTGTAAAATCCATGATTGCTAGCGGAATCTGAAACCAATGTGGAGATTCTTGAATGCTCTACTCGCCGAATGACAGTTTTACATTCACCGTTTTGCATTTTTTCTTCTAAAGATTGTTTGTATGGCAGCTATATGACCTAGCAATCCGATTTTCAAAACAATTTTTCACAAAATTGTAAATTAATAAAAAAGAGCTATATCCCAATTTTAATGAAAATATATTGAAAACTGGAAAAGTTATAATTTTAATTGTAATAATTTATCCATCGTTTGTATGACAGCTATATGATATAGTAGTCCGATTTTCATAAAATTTTACACAAAATTCTAGATTAAAATATAATGGCTATATATTAAATTTTCCTAAAATGTTCCGATTGTTCCTATGGCAGCTATATATATATATATATATAGTCTACCGATTCGGCATGCTCCAATTTATATACTAGTAAAATTATATAGAAGAATACCTCCATAGTTTCATTCAAATGCTCTTAAATTTGCTCAAAAACAAATCTCGCACATCTGTGCATATGATTCCCAACTAGTTCAAACATCCCCGGAACGAAGTGACTGCTGCCGGCCAAGTATCAGATATGTGTTATGTTACAAAAGTTGAAAGTCATTGTTTACAAGTGTTTAAAGTAAGTAACTGATCATACTCACTTACTGGTCATAGATACTTACTGATCATAGTTACTTACTTGTCATAGATAATTTCTGTTCAGAGTTAATTACTGTTCAGAGCTAATTACTGTTCATGCTTAGTTACTCGTCATAGTTGATTACTGATCATAGTTCTATAAATCTTCCGATTGTTCCTATGTCAGCTATATATGTATATATAGTCCACCGATTCGCCATGCCCCGACTTATATACAAGTAAAATTATATAGAAGAATAACTCCATAGTTTCATTCAAATAGCTTGTTCTTATTTGCCCCAAAACAAATCTCGCACACTGTGCATATGATTCCCAACTAGTTCAAACATCCCCGGAACGAAGTGACTGCTGCCGGCCAAGTATCGGAAATGTGTTGTTACAAAAGTTGCAAGTCATTGTTTACAAGTGTTTAAAGTAAGTAACTGATCATACACACTTACTGGTCATAGAAAGTTACTGATCATAGTTACTTAGTTGTCATAGATAATTACTGTTCAGACTTAATAACTATTCAGAGCTAATTACTGGTCATACTTAGTTACTCGTCATAGTTGATTACTGATCATAGTTCTATAAATCGTCTGATTGTTCCTATGTCAGCTATATATATATATGTTTATATATAGTCTACCGATTCGGCATGCTCCGATTTATATACAAGTAAAATTATATAGAAGATCAACTGCTTAGTTTTATTCAAATAGCTTGCTCTTAAATTAGTCCCTAAACAAATCTCGCACACTGTACATATGATTCCCAACTAGTTCAAACATCCCCGGAACGAAGTGACTGCTGCCGGCCAAGTATCAGAAATGTGTTGTGTTAAAAAAGTTGCAAGTCATTGTTTACAAGTGTTCAAAGTTAGTAACTGATTATAGATACCTAATGGTCACAGCTAATTAGTGATCATAGTTACTTACTGGTCACAATAAATTGGTGATCATAGATAGATGCTGTCCTGAGTTATTTAATGTTCAGATAAATTTACTGGTCACAGTTAATTAGTGATCATAGTTACTTATTGTTGAAAGATACTTACTGATCCTCTACTTTTAACTACCGTTAACAAAACCAAGTATACATTGGTAGAAGCATTCTTTAAGGCCTCCAAAACTGAATAACAGTCTAAAAAGCACTGGATGCAAGTCTAGACTAAATTCCCACGATCGCTAGTGGGGCCTCGAACCCCGAAGTAAAACCCAAAAATAAAAACAAAAACAAAAAGAAATATGGATAATTATGAATGAAAGTGTGGGCTTCTCCACCTCTTTCTCTTACTGGCTGCGTCACGAACAGAATGAGCATTCCCCCAACTAAAATCTATTGTACGTGCTTCGATGCATATTTCAACAAATTCCAAATCTCCGCCAGACTTGTGTAGATACATAGCTGAAGATCTATGTTTCTCTTACTCTAAATATATCTTTCTATCTCTGTTTCTCTAAGATACTTTCAAGCTTATCTTGTGGCTTGTGGAGACGTGTTCGAATTTTAAGAATTTTTTGCTTGCTCGAGAGCTTGTCCGACATGGATGACATGGCGATAGGTAAAGCTAGATGTCTCCAGCTTTCTGCCCTGTGTCATATAAATATATATATGTATATATATTCCCTGATTGATGATCACGTAGAGAATGAGTGCGGTCCGGATCCAGTCCGGCTGATAGGAAACTCTGTGGAACTCACTGAAGAGGTGATTGGAGGCAAATATCAGTGGCTTGTGCACCTTATCAGTTATAGAGCAGCAAAAACCGGAAGTTTCAATCAGAGTAGAGTACATATCGCTTGGAAAAAACCTAAAGAATCGAAGAAAAATCATGTCCGAAGTAGGGTTAAAAAATATGGAAGAATATAGCTTTGCAAGTTCTTAACTAATCATTAAATTAAATTAATATAGGTTCCCAGCTATAATTCGACTGTGTTTAACAAGTTGAGAACATGATGATAATCATTTGCTTATAACTGATTAGGAATACTATTAACTATATTATATAGTTAATATAGAAACATTAATTACATTCCTTGTTGTTTCACCAACGTGCTTATGATAAATGTACATAGCTTAGTTTAATTACGTATAGGCCTCCGATCTCCCAATTCGTGCCCAAAAAGCAACATAACCGAAACGTGTTTAATGGGGATTCTCCGAAATTTACCAACTTTTGGAATTTTCGCATTTATTTATTTTTTTTTTTTTGGATGCGTAACACCCACAACGTAGCTACGTACGTGTAAGAATCGGAAGTGCTGCTCAAGAAGAGAGATTTTTGATGGTTACATGACCTTACATTACATTAATCATTGCAGATATCAGAAGAACCCTCTAACCAGTGGATCACGTCGGTGGAATGGAGAAAGAGCGAAGATTACTCATACTCATGACCAAGAGGAGAAGACATCTCCATGGCGGAAGTGCAACACGTCTTTTGCTCTCCGGCAGAGCAAAAAAATTAAAGACGTTTTAGTCATGACGGTAGTCGCTATCTTCCGGTCTCTGGTCTGTGCTTGGAAGCCACATGGTTCTCCAGCAGACAGAGAGAGGGAGAGCTACGGGCTACGGCTCCAAGATCGTCGTACTTAAGCCACGGGCACTTGTCAATCGGCTTTAAAGTTATGCAACACATTCTCGACGGCAGCGACCTATTAAAGACCTGCTGACCCGCTCCAAGTCATCACTGCCACCGGAGAGCTCCAACGCAGTTGCAGGTCAAGCTCAAGGATTAGCAACAAATGTGCTCAGGATATTGCCTTGACAAGTGAAGAAATCGAAAAGGATAGCAAAGGAAAGGATACAGGATAAAGGACTCAAACATAGTGTAGTGACTCAACCATGATGCACTGCCTCTGGTCGCAGCAGCAGCTGCTGCTGGGCCTCATGGCCTTGGCCCTGTTCAACCTGACCGCCGGTCGTTCGGTCCGTCAAGTCGGTGGTGCAGGTGGTGGTGGCTATCCGCCGGTACTCCCGGGTGGTTACTATCCCCAACCGCCGCCGCCGCCCCATTATCCTGTCTATCCGCCGCACTCGTATGGATATGGTGGCTACCAGAGTCATCCGCCGCCACATGGCTTCCCTCCAGCTGGAAATTACTATGGTGTCTATCAGAGTTTTCCCGGAGGCGGTGATCCAGTGCAGTTTGATTATGTAAGTCATTATTGTTTTTTATTTGATATTATTATTTGATTTAATCACTTCATCACTTTAATTATTATTTATTGACTTTTTGGCGAAGAAATCATTTTTACTTTTGTATTTTGTTTCGAACTTCTGCAACGGGAAGTTTTTCTTCTTGTTTTTAAACTAATCTTTTATATCTTAAAAAGATTAACTTTGTTATTGTCTTGATTTATTATTTATTTATTTTTGTTTTTATTTTTGTGGTGAGAAATAAGTATAATATTTATTGTTTTTAGAGGAAAAATACTTAAACTGGTTTTGGTTTGGGGGAAAACTTTAAATTTTGTAGAAAATTTTGTTATTAATTCAAAATCTCTTTTTAAATAGGTTTACCTTTTAAAAAAGTGCCCTATTTCTTACTGTCAATATATTTTACATTAATCAATTTGATGTTGAGAAGATCAATCAATTTAGTAGGAAATATTTTAATAATTATTAAGATGGCTCTTGAAGAGGTTTCCCTTGCTAAAAAGTTGTTTTAAAACAGTATTATTTTAAAAACCTTATAGGGTATTAAGTTTATAGTTTGAAGCTTCAAACCCAGTGAAGGAATCATTTCCGACCCCATAAACCATATATATTCTTGATCAGCATCACCAGCCGAATTGATCTAGCTATGTCCGACAGAAATTTAATTTTCTCAAAATTTTCACATTTTTATGATGGTAAAATTGTTAAAATTGAGATGAAAAAAAATGCCAAAAATTGGATTTTTTTAAACTGTTAAATTGGGTATGCAAATTTATAAAACTAGTAAGAACTAGCATAGGGAAACTTTCCGAATTAAATTTAATGCATTTTTAGCTTAGTTATGAGAATTTTAAACTTTGATTTGTTTAAAAAATTGTCTTATAAAATATTGGTAAATATCGATTAATAAATGGCATTTTACTTTTAGCCAGAAGCTTGAAAAGATGTGAAGGAATCATTTCCGACCCTATAAATCATATATATTCTTGATCAGCATTAACAGCCAAATCGATCTAGCTATGTCCGACGGAAATTTATTTTTTTCACAATTTTCACATTTTTATGATGTTAAAATTGACATTAAAAAAGTTGCCAAAAATTTTAATTTTTTAACATTTTAAATTGAGTATGCAGATTTATAAAGCTTATAAAAACTAGCATAGGAAAGCTTTCCGAATTAAAATTAATGATTTTTTGGCTTAGTTATGAGTTTTTTAAACTTCGATTTTTCGAAATTTCCTTTAAATAACTGTGCTGCATAATTTTAGTCTTCTGTGTAGAGAGCTCCTTAATAAACAAGAATTCTCTGCTTAAAAACTACTATATCCAGTTAGGAAGTCTATATTTTTGTATGTCTTTTCAATAACCCTTGAAAACATAGTAATGGCTTGTATAAAAGGATTCAATCAGACTCGCTTTTTAGTTGTATAAATCATAAATTCTCATCTTCATCAACGATTGAGCTACCAAACCAGCTGTCTCAATGCTCCCATCTTGACCTCTATTTGTTATTTTTACCTGTTTTGTGCCTCAGAATAATCGTTGTTCGCGGAACTACATTGGCATCAAGCCGCATCCTGACCAGCAACAGTACTATTATGTGTGTCAATCCAACTGCGTGATTTTCAGCAAGTGCCGTAACCATCAGGTGAGTGACCGAATGTCCTCCGTCCAAGGAGTCCAAGAAGACACCTAACCGAAAAAAATTTGCTCTTCTCAGAGCTTCGATCCGACCACCGGACGATGTGTCCAGCAGCGGGGTCCCCAGCAGCCACTCCAGCCGCATCGTTCCCGACCAAAGCCGTGCCAGAAGGAGGGTCGATTCCCCAATTCGCACGATTGCAGGACATACTATCGCTGTGACAAGAATCAGACGGAGCCCTGGCTATTCGCTTGTCCCGAGGGAACCATCTTCTCGCCGCTGGTCCGCAAGTGTGTGCCCGGTGACCAGTGCCCCTCGACGGAGATATCTTCCAGTGGCAGTTACATTCCACAGAACTGTGAGCTCAAGTTTCCCGTGTGCACCGAGGACGGGACCTTCCGTTCGCCGACGGACTGCGCTTTGTACTATACGTGCCGCCAGCAGGAGAGCGGCAACTATCTCCAAACGCGCTTCAAGTGTCCCGGCAGCAATAGTTTCGATACGGAAAGGAAGATCTGTCGGCCACGCAGTGAAGTTGATTGCTATGACTACCAGCCATCGCATCCCTATTATCCCTACTATCCGCCCTATCCGGCTGCTCCACTCTACGAGGAGGATGACTACGATACGGGAGCGGGAGCGACGAATAAGGAGCATCAGGAGCATTCCGTTCCAAAGTCCGGAAGGTTCCAAGAGAACATTGTCATACTGCCCACGACGACGACGACGACCACAGAGAAGCCCCATTATGGCTATCCGACATATTCCTATGACGATTCTTCCTATTATCGCAACAAGGAGCCAGCCTCAGAAAGTTTGCACATTGAGGATGAGAGAATTGTTAAACCTTCGGTGAATGTTGTTATCTTGCCCAGCTCTACACCGGCCACAACCAGTACTCAGTATCATTCGACCAAATATCAATACAAGAGGTTCACAGAGAACCCGCAGGCGAAGGTGGATGCTGTTAAGGAGTTGCATCTTTCCAATAAAATTGTTATTGTGCCAACTACAGAGACTACAACTACGACAACGACAGCCAAGCCGACGACACACTCATGTCCTACACACCCAACGCCCATACCAAATACCAGCACTGTACCAACAAAACCAACAACTACTCGAGAAACTAGTACGGTTACAACCACAACAACTCAGAAGCCCACAAAGCCCACAAAGCCCACTGTTACAACAACTACCAGAAAACCAACAACAACTCCAATACCAACAACAACAACTACTCAGAAGACAACAACAACAACCCAGAAATCAACAACAAGAGAATCCAGCACTCAAAAGACAACTGAGAAAATCTCAACAAGTTCTAAGACCACAGAGAAGGCCACAACAACCACTCAAAAACTGGAAACAACGACTCCGATAATAACCACAACCACTCCGAAGTCAACAACGACGACCCCTAAGACATCGACAGTGACAACCACTACTGTAAAGCCGACAACTACGACTCTAAAAACATCTACAGTAACGACAACTACTTCAAAACCAACAACTACAACTCCAAAAACATCTACAGTAACAACAACTACGACTCCAAAAACATCTACAGTAACAACAACTACAGCAAAGCCAACAACTACGACTCCAAAAACATCTACAGTGACAACAACTACTCAAAAGCCTACAACGACGACTCCTAAAACCTCTACAGTCACAACCACGACTCAGAAACCAACAACGACGACTCCTGCAACATCTACAGTGACAACCACGACAGTGAAACCAACAACGACGACTCCTGAAACAAGTACAGTCACAACCACGACCCTGAAACCAACTACGACGACTCCGGAAACCTCTACAGTCACAACAACAACCCAGAAACCAACAACGACATCTCCTGAAACCTCTACAGTCACAACCACGACTCTGAAACCAACAACGACGACTCCAGAAACCTCTACAGTTACAACCACGACCCAGAAACCAACAACAACGACTCCCGAAACCTCTACAGTCACAACCACGACTCTGAAACCAACAACAACGACGACTCCTAAAACAAGTACAGTCACAACCACGACCCTGAAACCAACTACGACGACTCCGGAAACCTCTACAGTCACAACAACAACCCAGAAACCAACAACGACATCTCCTGAAACCTCTACAGTCACAACCACGACTCTGAAACCAACAACGACGACTCCAGAAACCTCTACAGTCACAACCACGACCCTAAAACCAACAACGACGACTCCAAAAACATCTACAGTCACAACCACAACTCTGAAACCAACAACGACGACTCGTGAAACAAGTACAGTAACAACAACAACACAGAAACCAACAACGACGACTCCCAAAACATCTACAGTGACAACCACGACCCTAAAACCAACAACGACGACTCCAAAAACATCTACAGTCACAACCACGACAGTGAAACCAACAACGACGACTCGTGAAACAAGTACAGTGACAACAACAACACAGAAACCAACAACGACGACTCCCAAGACCTCTACAGTAACAACCACGACCCAGAAACCAACAACGACAACTGCTGAAACATCTACAGTCACTACAACAACCCTAAAACCAACAACGACGACTCCTGAAACAAGTACAGTCACAACCACGACCCAGAAACCTACAACTACGACTCTTAAACCGACAACGACGACTCTTAAACCATCAACAACGACTCCCGAAACCTCTACAATCACAACGACAACCCAGAAACCGACAACGACGACTCCACAACCGACTACGTCTACTAAGAAACCGACCACAGTTACAACTTCGACCCAAAAACCAACAAGCACGACTCCTTGGCTAACCACGGAAATTACAAGAACAACGGAAACGACCACTGTACTAATTACCACTGAAAGGCCAACGACAACGACTCCAAAGACATCGACAGTGACCATAAGTACCCAAGGACCAACAACTACAACTGAGAAATTGACATCGGTGACGGCGACGAGCACAGTGACGACCTCTCCAGCCCCCGTAGACAACAGCACAGCAACGACGGATCTGACGACACGACCCCACTGCCCCGACCCGGACTCCACCGCAGGTAAGCCTCATTCACAGTCACAGCCTCAAGGCCACTGCGATCGAACAGCAGCAACAGAAAACACCTAATCCAAACACACACACACACTCGACTTGCAGATACAAACACAAATCCAGCATGCACACCGACACAACACCTGAAGTCACTCCAACAACAGACTATCGAACAGTCATCCAACCAAACACACACCAACACAGCGATAACTGGGAGCGGGAATCCCCTGGGTAAGCAGGAGGAGTTGCGAGCGAATAGTTTGCACTCCAAAGAAGAGTCCCTGGACTACATGGACGATGCGCCATCGTTTCCGGCCGAGTTCGAGGCGGAAGCGGGAAGAGCAACGACACCCAAGGTGCCGACCATGTCCACCCTGGCAGCTGCTCACATTTTGAGGAAACTCTTTAATGTAATCTCCACCACCACTCCGGCTAGTCGAGAGCGTGTTCCTCCTACTCGGCGTCCGCCCGGAGTGACCATTGCCCAAATGGCCAGGCACAATTTGGCCACCTCCAAACCCTTCATAGCCCATTCGCTGCGTCTCTCCATTCAGCAGTTAGCCTCCACGCAGGAGCGTTCTGTTCAGTCACAGATCCTCCCTATGGCAACCAAGAAGGAGTCAGAGGATTCTGAGTATTATGATACCTCAGATGCCGATGATGAGGATAACCAAGTTTTGGAAGGAAGAGATGCACCAAAGGCCATGGCCAGTACAACCACAATGGCCGCTGTGCTACCGACAGTCCAGGATTCCATGACCACGACCACGGAGCAGCAGGAAACTAGTTCCCGGGCAAGTCCAACCACAACTACGATAAGTGATTCGGAGTATTCCGAGTCTGATTATGTCAATGATGAGGCTGAGAATGAAATTCCGAGTGGAGTAAAGAGTCTAGAAGCAAGAAAGAGTATGTTGCTAAGCCTGCTCAAGGAGAGGCTACAGCCACTGCCTCTGGCTATTACGGGAAAAAATAAAGAAGGAAGTACTAGTACAAGTACCAGCACTAGTACAAGTACAAGTACAAGTTCAAGCTCTAGTACAAGTACCAGCACTAGTACAAGTACAAGTTCAAGCTCTAGTACAAGTACTAGTACAAGCACTAGCACTAGTACGAGTACTATTTCCCCCATGACTTCGACTACTAAGCCAGAGTCAACGCTTTCAGCTCAAAATAAAAGCCATCGAAGCTCGGAATACTACGATGATGATGATGACTATATGGAAGATGAACCTGTTAGCGGTTTGTCTAACCAAAACCAAGAGGAATTGGCCAAGAAGCCACCAACAGTCAATGCCAAGCGACATATAGTTCCCACACAGTCTCAGTTACAGCCAAAGCCACAAATACAGAAGTTCATGCCAGTTCCTAAAGCACAAGAATTAAGTGTAGAGAGTTCACAATTGCCCACAGCCAGCTTCCTAAAGCAATCCTCAGCAGAAGTGAATGCAGAGAAGAGCAAAAGCAATTCTCTGGCAGATGAGGCAAGTCGCAGACTTAGTTTCCTTGGGCGTATTCTAGGGCTTACCAGCAAAGCCACCACAGTCACACAGTCAACTACTACAACACCTAGGATAGTTTCCCCTACAACATCATCCACTACTGAATCATCTACGACAACAGTCACAGAATCATCATTAGCATCATCAGTGACACAAAGAGAGCCAACAAGAGTGCCAAGAAGTTTCATGACAAATCTGCTGAAAAAAGCAGGAAAAGCACATATCAAACCAAGAACAGAAAGAACATCAACCAAGTCGCCGGCAGTTCGCCAGGAAGTGCTGTCCGTGAATAGCAAACCATGGTTGCTGGCGGCTCGAAATCAAACCGTTCACCTAACACCCATCGCCGTCACTTCCACCTTAAACCCAGTGAGCCAAGTTAATAGTTCGAATATCCTCCATCCGTTAGTGACCATTCCCGGGAATTATACCACCGAAAAGGTGCCGCAACTTATCGTCAAGGTATATGAACCCATCGATCTGAAGATTGTATTTTGTCCCAAGTCCTGTGACCAGGACCATGACCACAAATATGGTGAGTACAAAGAAGGATGCACCTCGTCGTCGTTGAGTCCGATTCAAAACTGTTTAAAATCCACAGACCCAGCTGATAATCATAAGAATATAACCAGCTGTACTGGTGGTAATTGCCAGGACGAGGAGATACACAAGCATGTGGATATCCAGTGGAAGCCACTGGAACTCGACGATATTGCCAGCTTCCGGAATGCAGTCTAAAAAAAAAAAAAACAAGGAGCACATTAACTTTTAACCTAGAGCATAGACAGTACCAAGAATTATATTTAAATCGAAAAATACTTTTAAATTCATCATTTGTTTTGTTGTGTGTGTATGTTTTTCTTTTGGGGTACCCGCTGTGCAGTTGCCTTTTGTCAAAAAGGAAAAGAAACTGGGGAAAGGAAAAAGGAGCAGTCAGGCACACACACACACACACTCACACAAAAAACCAGACATTCCAAAAGGAAGGAAAAACGTCCTTCAGTGGGCAGTGGGTCGTGTCGCGGTCGTGGTTGTGTCCTGTGGCCTGCCTGCTCTGCCTTCCTGCCTGCATGTGTCCAGGAACTTCAGTTCCAGGTGCCACCTGTTGCAGTCAAACAAAAGAAAGAAGTCCCTAACACAACAGGACCAAGCCAAAGTTGGCAATTGCATGATGCATACACATGGGCAACCATGGCAGGACGAGGGAGTTCCCCTCTTTCTCTCTGTGTGAGTGAGTTCACTTTTTGTGAGCCAAAAGCAAAAGAAAAATGCATGAAATGGAGGCAAGTGCAGCCTGTTTTTTTTTTTTGGTTTTGATTTTTCTCTTGCTGTTTTTTTGGTTTTACTTGTTGTGTGGCACAGTTTTGGCTCCAAAAAAATAGAGCAGCAACTGAGGACACTGCCTCCCTCCTTGTTTCCACTCCTTTTGACTTCCAACTAAGCTTTTACATCCTCGACTGGCTCAGCAGCATTTTCTGTGTGTGGCTTTTCGTGCGATTTACAGTTATGCGTGCCACAAATCGCGGCATCAGGCCTTGCTTAGTCAGAGACATCATCATCATCATCATCATCAGCAGCAGCAGCAGCAGCATCCAAAAGCACACTGATGCCCTGCACAAATCTCCAGTTGGCCATGAATTATTCAACAGTTCAACAGTTGGCCTCCAGCCTCCCCCCCGAACTATGTACAATTTGCAATTTTCATGTGTAGAGTCTTGGTAGTCTTTGGAAATTGACTTCCTTCAAGGAACACATACAACACACATGCTGCTCCTTTGCTCCTTGTGCAAATCCTTTTTATGCCCGCATTATATAGTTCGCACCATGACAGGGGTGGAGACATCACATTTGGCACACGATACGCGAGCGTCATTCAATTCCATTTCCATTGCCATTGCCATTGCCATTGGTATTTCCCTTTTGCACCCTTATAACCCTCCTCTATACCCCTAGGCACGACAACGATGCTCTGGCATTTTCACATTTCCATTTTGCAAAGAGGAAAACGCGCAAGGGCTCCGCGATGCCATTCCGAGGGTCATATAACCAAGTTCAATTACCTGTTACAGCCGTTAGATGAATTTCTATGGCCAGTACATGTCCCGACTAGTTGAGTACAGTTGGTAAGGATGAGCAGGAGTTGGGGTCTTGCCAGTGCGTGTGTGTGGCTTTTTTGAATATTTGAAATGTTTTTGTTCGCGCCAAGCCAACAACATTGAAACGCAGATCCTTCGAAGAGGATGTAGTATGTAGTAAGGGAGAATGGCCAGGGACTTGAGTCTTGCTCTGGTTCTTTGGGGGGAGGTATGTCTAAGGGGGTTTTGTGTGTGTCTGTGTGTGTGAAAGAATAACGACACACTTTGGCACGCATTTGTGATAAACATAAATGAGCTTAGAAATGAACCCCGCAGGATAAGGCGCACAACACACACACGCCCACGCATAGTGCAGAAAGGAGGAAGGCGTAGAGCCATCGAAGCCTCTGTATTGACTGCTGTTGTACAGTAGACATCAAGAGTGAGTGAGTGAGAGAGTGAGTGAGTGAGAGAGTGAGCATTATACAAATGATACGACATTAGATAAGCCTAAGTGCAAATTGGCTTACAAACCGGGATTTGTGTTCTCACACACTCTCACTCTCATTCCTCTCGTTTCGACTTTTGACGCCTTTTGTTACAGCCACTGGTTGGGCTTAGTCGCAGGATTCACAGCCGCATCCTGGCATATCCGTATACGCATCCGTATCCGCATCCTCTTGGCTCTTTTGCATGCCACAGCTGGTGTTTGGGTTAGCCTCATAACATCACATATGCATGAGCAGGAATGGGGAAAAGCAGAAGCAGGAACAGCAAAAAGCATGAGCAGTAACAGCAAAAAGCATAAACAGGAACCGAAAAAAGCAGTTACAGTAACAGGAGTTACTACAACTGGAACAGAAGCTGAAGAACTATATATATATATAGTGGACCAGATGGCATATCTCCCCGACAGGTTTTGATTTCGATATCAGTTTAGGTTTATGCCTGACATTGCTTTTAGCACCGCTTAGTTGAGAAGAGTAGGAAAAGAAGAAGGTTATCCTAATGAGCATTCAATGGACAGCAAACCACTTCAAGCTCCATTCACCTTCATCCTGGCTACCCTCCTCGATAACTGGGTCGCGCCTTTTGCCTGGTGCTTCCTTTTTGTGGCCTCAGTTGCTGGAAAAAAGCGCCAAAGAATCGCCACGTGTGTGCATCCTCTGTCTGTCTGTGTGTTTGTGGAAAAAGGAAAAGCAACAGTCGAGGAAACAAAGGCAAACCGACTGCTGCTTGCAGGAGGAGAGTAACATGGATGGATGGGTGGGTGGATGGTCGATGTGAATGTGAACCTGGATGTGCAGGCTAAAAAAATTGCCAAAAAATTCGTCCTTGATTCGTTGCAGTTTCTTTTGATGACGGCGTCGGCTCTGGCTCTGGCTCTGGCTCTGGCTCCGGGTTCGAGTGTCGTGAGTTTTCTAAAACGAAAGCAAAAAGATGCAAACACACACACACAGAGGGAGAGGAGTGGCAAGGACATGGGGCTTGCGAGCTCATCGTCATGAATGAAAACTGAGGGGGGAAAACACACACAGTACACTCGTCTTTTGCCAATCTCCATTGCATTCTTTTTGGGCAACTGCCGACGCACTCTGATTGCTTTTGGCTTTACGCCACCGACACACAAGGACATCCTGATGCCCTCACAGCAAGGACACCCCTCATACCCATTTCATTTTGTCTTTTTTTTTTTCTCTGTGTGTGTGTGCCACATTCATGGCGTGCTGCTCCTTTATTTTTTGAGGTGGGGAGAAATGCAGTCGGAGTCGCAGTCGTTTGTGGCAAAAAGAAAAAGGTAGAACCTTGTTTTAGCCAATTGTTTCGTTTTGATTTTCGCTCCGCTTACTCTGCCACTCGCCGCTCCAGTTAACTGGAGGAAAACAAACCATGTTGAGGTCTTTGTACCCGAATTTCGTGGCCGAGTGCATCGCTCTTTCTCTCGACTGGCGTGCACCGGCCAGTGAACACAGAAAATGGCAACAAAATTATGCAACTCAAGCATGGTGAAAGGAGTTGGAGAGGATCCTTGAAGCGTGTCCGAGCTAACAAAATTCCAAGCCCCCGTATCTTGACCTCTCTGGACCTACTCCTCTCTCTCTCTCGCTCTTAATCCTTTTTTACACACTGCAATTGCCTCAAATAAATATATATATATATTTATATGTACATATATGCAATCGCATTAAGGTTGTCCTTATTATTTATTGACTTAATTGATTTTAAATATGCATAAAGCTGCGGTCCATCCAATATTTGTCTTTGGCTGCAAAGCGCAAAGGCGGCAGTGGCTTTCAATTAGCGTTCCCAAACATACACCATGGGGTCCCGTCATCATCATCAGCATTACCACAGGACGAGGAATGGGAAAGGATCAGAGGGACATGTGCCTCTCTTTCGTTTTTAATTTGCTGTTTGCATTATCCGATTTTCATTTTTATTTCAACGTTTTTTCAACAACCCACGCACTGCAAATATTTTCGTTTCTTTGATGCAATTTCGCTAGTTTGTGCCTGTGCCTTGGACCCTGGACCCTGGACCCCATGCATCCTGGCACTTTGTTGATTAAACATTAATTGTGCCTCGAAAATGCACAATGCAAAATGCAAATCGATTTCTGGGGGAGGATGCCTGCTGGGCAGGAGGAGAAGGAGTAGTTCCTCCCCTTAACTAGGATAAAGTTTCCAACCCAAAACTAGCCTCTCCTCGCTTATTTTTTACGCTAATTGCTTTGTCCGGATGACAAAATGACTCACTCCCTTCCTTCCTCACCAAAAAGTCTGCTAGCTCGTTTTTAATGCAAACTTTTTTGTATTTTATTGAAGCATTAAAACGCATTTTTAACAACCGTATAGCAATATTGACGATACCCCTCTCTCTCCAAGGAGCGACGAAGCCTTGTCTAGCCCGAGTCCAAAAGCCAAGAAGAGCCGAGGACACTGGCGAAGAGAAAACGCTTGATGGTCCATTAAAGACAAAAGATTTTTGTGAAAAATTACTACATTCACTTTACGGGCCAAGGCAGGAAGGAAGGAGGAGGTTGTTCAAGCTTTCCCAACTAGAAATACTCTGCCGCCTGCCGCCTGCCGCTGGCAAACAACAAAGTTGTAAAAATTGTTTCGTTTTTAAGTCAGCAGAAAAAATAAAAAATAAAGAGTGAGGGAATGCGCTTGGGGGTAGCTAGGTGGGTAGGAGGTAGTTTGGGTTAAGTAAAGGTCTTCTGGGGGGAGGTGAGAACAGTAAAGGAACTAAGGAGGTTTTTGGGGGTAAGGTTACACAGTAAGGAACTGTAAGGGGGGGTGGAGATTTTTCGGTAAAGGTCCTGTGGAGGGAGTGGGTTTGGACCGCGGTAAACTACCGTAAGTTTAACAGCGGCGCATAAACTGCAGCAGCAGCAGCCGAAGCCTCTCTCCGCCTTTGCCATTAGCAATAAAAAGGGGGAACGGGCAAAAGGACGAGGCTGAAACTGAGGCTTCCAAGGACTATATATATATATATGTATACCCTTCGAAGATTGAGTTATGTGCGTTTCGACTTTGTTTCTGCAAGGGGAAGGAGTGTCTCAGAGCTACGCGCGCGCTGTTTCGGCAATATAATGGTAATAACCCAATCGTTACAATCGAGCTCAGTGCCTTGGTTCCACTTCCACATCCACTTCCGTTTCCGCTCGTTTTTAGTTGCCGTTA